TTTCTCGATGGACATGGTGAGTCCGGAAGGAGAGAGGCAGTAACCGAGATATTCCGTAGTGTCCGTATGGAACTCGCATTTCTTCGGATTGGCGTATAGGCCGTGTTTGCGGAGTCTCCTAAGAACTTCTCGGACATGCTCCTGATGCGAAGCCATGTCTTCCGAGTAGGTAAGGATGTCGTCTAGGTAGACTACCACAGAAACGTCCAGGAGGTCGGCAAAGATCGTGTTTACGAATCGCTGGAAAGCCGCAGGTGCATTCGTGAGACCGAATGGCATGACAAGCCACTCATAGGAACCATAGCGCGTGCGGAAGGAAGTCTTCCATTCGTCGCCTGCTGCGATGCGAACCAGGTGGTAGGCATGCCGGAGGTCGAGTCTGGTATAGACCGTGGCACGGCTAGGTGCGTCAAGGAGGTCGGAAATGCGGGAAGTGGGTAGCGGTCCTTTTTGGTGATCTTGTTCAGCCCTCGGAAGTCGATGCAAAGACGGAGGGATCCGTCCTTCTTGCGGACGAAGAGGACCGGTGCCGCGTGAGCGGAGGTAGCGGGACGAATGAAACCGGAGGCCAGGTGCTCATCTAAGAACGCCCGGAGGGCCTCGAGTTCCGAAGGAGAGAGAGAGTACATGGTACCCAAGGGTGGGGAGGTGCCTTCCTCAAGGTCAATCTTTAGGTCGTGCTCACGGTGCGGTGCCAGCGTCGAGGCCTTGCTCTTACTGAACACGTCCGCGAACTCGTGATACTCCTTCGGAACGGCCGAGAGGTCGACGGAATCGGTGTGGGGAGAGGCAGCCCTCAAGCGGCTTTCCTCGGAAGGGATGGTTAGGCTGAAGGATACCGATCCTTCGAGTCGGCAAGCCTTCGTGAATGCGGAACGGCTGACGAACTCGATAGATGGTAATGGAGGAGTAGCAGCCTGTGACTGAGGTGCTGGCGAAACATCAGATGGTTGGATGTCGGATGGCGGCAGTGTTGCCGGAGACGACGGGGGAGAGCTCGGAGTGACTGTCTTGGTAGGTTCGGAAGTTCGGAACGTGATACTGCTTGAGACCCAGTCAATCAACGGATTGTAGCGGGTAAGCCAGTTGTGTCCTAGGACTAGGGAACATGATCCATCCAGCGATGTGACAAAGAAAGTCGTGGGGGTGATGTTTCCGGAAGCGAAGCGGAGGGGAATATCAACGGCACGGGTTATGATTGAGTTGGTGCTACCGTCGAATAGGCGTAGTTGTAGGGGTTTGATCTGGTATGTCTTCAAGGCCAGCTTTTTTACGAAGGTGTCGTCGATGAAGCAGTCCGAAGACCCAGAATCTACGAGTGCGGGTACGTTCTCATAGGAGCGGAAAAGTTTATTTTGTGTCCTACTATTGGACGGAGGAGAAACAGAAGAAGAGAAGCGGAGAGAGGTGGATCGATCTACGGAAGTAGTCGGAGGGGGTGGAGGAGAGAGTGGTACATCAGCAACACTATCTACAACGGGTAGAACATTGCCCGAAGGGTCAACATTGAAAGGAGAAAATAGACCATTTGAGAGAGAAAAGGAAACGGGAATGTGGAGGGAGGATAGGTCGGAAATGGAAGACGCGTTTAAACGCACTTCTTTGAGCGCACGGAAGGAAGGATCGCAACCCCCGGTCCGTGCGGAGTCCACGGGGGTGCGGACTAATTTTTTGCTTCTGCGGAAGCGGATCCTTGCTCCTCGGTCTGGGCCGAACGGGCCTTAGATGCGCGAGAAGAAGACTTGGGACAATCCTTGACCATATGGCCAAACTGACCGCAGAACATACAAAGTTTCTCGTCGAGACGGCGCTTACGCTCTTGTGGCGTGAGCTTGCCGTTGTCTCCGAGTTTAGAAGAGAGGTCCGGTTTAACGGAGCTGGCCTCGGACTTCTTGTTGTCCTTCGGAGGCCTACTACCGGAAGCGGAGTTGAAAGAGGAGGAGGAAGGGACGGGGTCGGAACGAGAAGCGGCGGTGGACTTGTCGAAGACGTTAGAGGAAGAGGGTTTCGCGTGACGTGTAACTTCCGATTTACGCTCCCAATAGCGCGCATCGAGAGTTTGGGACAGGGTGCGAAGCTCAGAGAGAGTAGAGGGTTTACCTACTCTGGCAATATCATCCTTGATACGTTCCGGCAATCCGTTGTAGAAGAAACGACGAAGCGCGGCTTCTCCGTAACCGTGGAGTTGAGAGGCGTGTCGATTGAATTCGACGACGTATTTGTTGATGTGGTGTCCGTCCTTCATGTCTAACGTCATTAGTTGAACCTCGGCGTCACCCACAGGATCGTGAGGGCCGAAGTTAGTTTGAAGTTCGTTAACGAACTCTTGATAGTCGTTCATCCATCGCGGACGAAGCGTGGAATTCTGGTCGAATAACAGGTCCGGCTCAAACCAATCGAGGGCCATTCCCTTGAGGTAGGACTGCGCAAATATGACTTTAGCGCGGTCACTAGCGAAAGCGAGGGGACGGTCCTGGAAGTTGAGCTCGCATTGGACCAAGAATACTCGGAGTTCTCGGGGATCCTTCCCGTCAAACTGTTCGGGTTCGCGGACCTTGGTCCGGAGAGCAGAAGATGGTGGTGGTCCTCGTCGTCCGGTGTGACGAGCCAGACTGGCAATGGCTTGGGCCAATTGTGTAATGGCCATGTTGGAGGTGGGTTCGGCATCGTCGGTGGTTGGAACAGTGGGGATGGGAGGATCAGCAGGAGGAGGGTCGACAAAGTCGGGGACCTCGGAACCGAGTCCAAAGAAGTGGGCGGGATCTATGGGTTGTTCCGTGGTGTCTCCGAAGTCGGAGTCTGCAACTGGTGATCGATTCCTAGCGGGGCGCATGATTGGAGTCGATGGGAGAGGGGTTTCAAGGTTAGAAAAGCTTCGAAACTCAACTGGGTTTCTCGCCAATCGACTAGGACCAGGCTGAGAGGGTTCTGGGGAAGGTGAAGCGGAGTTGGGGACTAATGTGCGTAGTTGCGAACGAGTGCGAAGGACTTTTGGTGCCATACAAGACGTGTACTAGTCAGGGAGCAGATAAATACTGTCAGAGACCAGATTTAAGACGAAGGAATGTCTCCGTAACGGAGGGCTTTGGCCTCAGCGACTTCTGCCAGGAGCACTGTGCCTAGTGACACGTCCGTGCCCTAACTTACTGACTGGCACTTAGAACCTAGTGGGGGTAACTCTAGTTGATTTATCTGCTGGGGCGTAACCTATGTACAAGTAGTGTATATATATGGTTACAGCGGAGACGGTTCCGCAATTGGCGGAGCCGGACGGAGCAGAGCTAACGGGGTTAAGACATTAGCCGACTGAATATTACCGACGAGTCGGTTCGCGGGGTTAGCGGAAAGGCAGGCGTTAACCCAGAAACGGAAAGGAGGGATAAGCCCGAAGGTGGACTCTGCAGGGCAGGCGAGTGTATTGCCCAGCGGAGGCGGGAGTGCGCTAGCGGACGTCGGAGCTGTCCGGAAGTCTTCGGGGCTCCGTACTTAGGGAGGCGTAGGTAATAAATTGAAATGAGGGGGTGGTGACCATCGAGGGGTACCGGGAGGTTTGCGGAATACGGGGGGCTCCGAGGTTGGTGAGGGGAAAGCAGAGTTAGAACGGAAGGGTCGGAGAGCCCGGAAGTCGATGGCCGGGAATGGATATGACAAGGAGCAGAGCAGCAATTGGCTCACAACTGGTCTGAGCGCCAGTGTCGGTGGCTTCGGGAAGCACCTTCGTTCGGGAGGTACCCGAGGGTTATTTGGTGGCGGGTCACCTGCGAAAAGCAATCGGAGAGGCCCTGGAAGACCACCGACCGTCCCCAAGTCCGGTCCCAACTCCAATGGGCATGGTAACAGCCAAGCCAAGGAGACTACTATCCGGACAGACCTACCACTCATGGACGCGAACCTACAGTCCATCCCCGCTTCACAATGATGTTGTTGATATCTTAATACATGCACTCTAATCAATCAGCCTGATATAATTTCATAACAATCGAAACGGAACAAAGGATTTCCCGTCCCTGCACCCTGATTTTGCACATTCGATTAAGTATCCTCGATGTGCGAAGAGTCGTTGAGGACGAACAGACTCATGACTCCATGAAAATCGGGCAAACTAAATCCCATGGTCTCGATCCAGACTCGATCTATTGTTTTTTTTTTTAGTAGGAGTAATATATACTTATGATCCCTATCACCATAATGTATTGAAGACAGTTTGCGCCACCTGCAGCCACACTTAGTACACCATCGTGTTGATGGCACTCCGTCCTAATGCAAAGTGCTTTTCGTCCTGCTGCCACACTTCAGCCATTGGCGCCCCTTTTTGAGATCAGTCTTCCGGTGCCAGGGCGGGGCAGGAACGTCATCAACATTGTTGTGAGTGGCAGCTCAAAAGTGCTGATAATGACAACGTGACTAATGAGTTGAACTCTAACAGTGGTTGCCATGCATGGACTAGCTCCAAACTCACACTTATGTCAGAAGCTGTCGACAACCCAAACTATGAACAATGGAATTAATTCATTGATCGCAGAAGAAGTTAACTCACGGCTCCAAAATCTGGGCCACAAAGAAAGAAAAATTGGACTATAAGGATACGAGGTCACTGTTGCAGTAACTTGATATGAGGGGGGAATCCCCGGCCCTGAGAAGCGCGTTGAGTTGGGGGGAGGAGAGCCATCGCTTGACCATGTACATACGTACCAAACCGGCGCCTTGCATGGTCATCAAAATATCCTTAAAAAACCACAGGTTCCATCAAGACAAACTACATTTTTAGAGCCAACCAAGGCATGCCACTCACACTGTTGCAAATATCCCCTAATTTTGCAGTCGCTCGAAATGCACGCGCACATACTATATGTATGAAGAGGAAACAAACATACCAAGAGAAATCCTCAACCAATTGTTGGCAATGTCAGGCATTTGATCAGCCCTTGCCAAACTCGAGTGCTGGGTGCCAGAGGCCTTCGTGAAAACATTTGCATATAATACCATTCACCAATTGTAAGTTACAGCATTTTCTTATATGACATTGTTATATACAACCATAATCATTAAGTAGCATGATTCTTAATTTCAATTCTTTCCAAATAATCGGAAAACAGTCAACCTAGCAGTTAAGGAATAGGGATGTACATCACTAAATGACAACTTGGCTGATATCAACGACCACCGGGGCTCTCAGTTTGCCCTGGAGCAGAAATCGAGTCCCGTCCTTGCTAGCCCGAGGAAAGTGATATTGGATAGATGTATTCTCATAGAACAGCAGATCACCATACCAGGGTTTATTCTCGCTGGAGGAGGGATCCACATTTGTAAAGACTGGGCAGTACTTGAGTTCAACAATGAGTTCGACTTGTCCATTAAAGAAGACCGGAGGTATCAAAAATTCAAACTGGACAAAAAGAAATGGGACCCGCCCCAGACTCGTACCCAGTCGGAGGAGCTCCGTGGATGCGCAAAATAATAGCTTTTTTACGCAATGTAAATAAACGTTCTCACACTGGTACGACTGCTTCCGATGCTAGTCACGTTCTGTACTCAATAGAAAAGATCACATGGTACGGAGTTAAACAAATATCCGATCACCTACTCCGAAACTTAGCCCGCGACACTTCGCTCCTCCGACTGGGGCAAAATGTAGGTGGCGATGCATCGGAAATACCCGACTCTCACGCTAAGCCTGAATGAGTTGTACATAGAGGTTGCGCAATGTAATTGTTAGTGTTGACACATGCGGTCATTATACCCAACCCAACCCATAGAGACTTGGGAGCACCTTGAGGGTTGTGAAATCGACAACCCGGGCATGTGCGGAAATTGACTCTTTGTATAATACTTCTACAGCACTTTATAGTTGGTGCTTTGTAGTGAAGCGGTACAAGCGTTAGCTGAGGCTATGCAGCCTTTTTTGGCTGTGGGTGTTCGATTCCCACTCAGTAAACCTTTTTTTTCCTTCTTTACTCCTTAGTGTAAATGGGAAGTTGTCACAATTATTCCTGAGACCATAAAAAAAAGGTTTACTGAGTGGGAATCGAACACCCGCAGCCAAAAAAGGCTGCATAGCCTCAGCTAACGCTTGTACCGCTTCACTACAAAGCACCAACTATAAAGTGCTGTAGAAGTATTATACAAAGAGTCAATTTCCGCACATGCCCGGGTTGTCAATTTCACAACCCTCAAGGTGCTCCCAAGTCTCTATGGGTTGGGTTGGGTATAATGACCGCATGTGTCAACACTAACAATTACATTGCGCAACCTCTATGTACAACTCATTCAGGCTTAGCGTGAGAGTCAGGTATTTCCGATGCATCGCCACCTACATTTTGCCCCAGTCGGAGGAGCGAAGTGTTGCGGGCTAAGTTTCGGAGTAGGTGATCGGATATTTGTTTAACTCCGTACCATGTGATCTTTTCTATTGAGTACAGAACGTGACTAGCATCGGAAGCAGTCGTACCAGTGTGAGAACGTTTATTTACATTGCGTAAAAAAGCTATTATTTTGCGCGTCCATGGAGCTCCTCCGACTGGGTACAAGTCTGGACCCGCCCTATCGCAGAGGAATAGGCAGAGGCTTTATCGCGCTCACCCAACCTGGTCATGTTTGGTGAGAGATCATAAGGGCATTTCAGCCAGGATTCATCTGAGTTGTGTCTTGAATCTGGCTCGGAACTTTGTACATGGGATGCACCCTCTTCCAGGGTCAAATGAATGGTGTGGTCACCAAATACCGGTGTAGGAATGAGATATGGGAGAGGAAGAACATGACCGGGATTGAAAATCCAGAATTCAGAATTGTGCATACAATATTGAGCAACCAACTCAGATGTATTCGTTGACCAGACAAAAGCGCAGTTCGCATTGAAAGCGGCTACATATCGGCCTCCAGGAGAGAATCCAACTGTGTGACGTTGAGGAGTAGATGAAAGTTGAGGATTGGAAAGAATGAAAGGAGCCGAAGGAGATGCAAGGAGCCGAATGGAAGGCTCTCCTGAAAAATATAGGAGTGCCACATTGCTGTACCAACTCTGAGTTTGAGGGACTCGGATAATAAAACATCCATTGCTCGACAATGCAGTTAGAGCAGGGTAATCACCACTAGGAAGAGCGCCACATGGCACCGAACGTGTGCCACGACTGAGAATGGAGATGTTTCCAGCAGTGTCCTCGGTGGCAATCTGAGCATTGGCACCAAGGATAAACTCTATCCAAACTGGATGGTTGGGAGGATCGGATCGGAAGCGAAAGATTGTACGTTGATGGTTGGGAGGGTTGGATTGGAAGCGAGAGATTGTACACTGGTGGTTGATGTCTGCAACTTCAATGATCCCATTTCCGAAACCGAGGGCGACATGAGAACCATCTTGAGAAATCACCGCACAGGTCACAATCCCATTACGAACATCATGTTCAGTGAACTCGGCTTCATAATTTGTTACTTTCCAGCCATGTCCATCAAACTTCTTTGGTAGGTTGCTCAGTTTTGCCTCGGCAACCTCCTGAGCATTACATGCATCCTCGCTCAAAGGAATAAAGCCACCGGAAAACTTTCCGGATGTGGAGAACACTTGAACAGGATCAGAGAGATGACCATACAATTCATAGAGTGACGACGAGGTGAATGGAAGGAATGATCGATAAAGATGCCAAGGATTGAAATGGGGACTACACCATAAAGTGGTTCCGAAAATTTTGTCCAACAGTTTCATTGATTTATGATTCTATAGAGCATCGTGTGATGTCATATCGTTTGGGTACATGAAGTATACGCGGGAACTCACAGAGAATTCAATCGAACGGCCCCAAACCATCCATTTCATGTCCTGCTGAGAAACCACCATAAACGAAAACAAGTTTTGTGTCAGAAGTCGTTCAAACTCTCTTTGCAATTCATTAGACTCTTCTGAAAAGAGTGACCAAGGATCCAAGTGGTCAAACAACCAGGTGAATGGATACTGGATGCAGTCGGGTAGCCTTTTCACCGAAAAATTATCCCACTTCCTTCTATCTCCCAAAGGGAGTTCAGTGGGAATCCCAACCTTGTTCCTTTGAATAACACCATTCACAAGTCGAAGGAGTCGTAATCCAAGAAAATATCCTTTTCGATCATCAATAAAGAACACCTTGTCTTCTTCCTCACCAATGGGGTCTTCCATGATAAATTCCTTTGCCGTTGCATGATAGAATTCGACAGTTGCATTGTTTGAAGGGACATCAATTATCGAGCTGATAGGATTCAGTATCGCATAGATCTCATCCTCCGCAATCCCCAAGAGATGTGACATGCTGTAAACACTGAGTGGTTCTTGCGCAGCAACAACCATCCCAACTACTTGGCGATAATTATTCACTACATGTGAAGGGATGCTTGCCACGTTGGGCCTAAAGGCTCGCCGCATTATTCGCAGATACTCCTCATTGAGATCCTTGGACGCATCTTGGAGGTCGAGGAAGTATTGAAACTCTAGTTTGAGGACAGAACCCCTTTGAGTCCGAACCTGAACTTCCCGTATCCGGATCGAGGCCATGACAGGCAAACCATGGCAAGCCAGAGTGAAGGCATCAAGATCGTCCGTCGATGGTTTCCACTGTGACTCCCCAATGCAACCCCTAAGCCCATCTGTTACCATAATCCGGATCGTATCGAAAGTCTCATCTGGTGCAACCTTATCCATGTCTTCACATGAGATGACACGGCCCCGATTCCGAGATTTATCCCAAGCCGAAACAACTTGAGATTCAGGGTGAGAACTGACCAGTATGGAAAACGTTGAAGGCAGCTCCTCAAGCAAAAGTACGAGGCTCATAAGTGTCCCAAGTGCCACTGAATCCCCACATTCATCTAAACCATCCAAGACGATGGTGAAGCGTTTCTCGCTTGCGGACATTATGCCCTTGAGACCATTCATCGGCTCGAGAACCAAAGTCCTCATTTGCTCCTCCAGAGGAAGACTCAGAACCAACTCCGAATTTGGCTGTCGAAGGCATTTGATGAGCGAGACCTTGAAGTCCCCATTGAAGATCGCAAGTTGACGTGCCAGTGTAGAAGGAAACTTCTCCAGAGAATCGAGGCCCGTCCCCTTTTGATTTTTGTCCCAAAAGAAAGAGGCTGCAAGAGTACCTTCCTTCTCAAGCATCGATGCGATGCTCATAGATACCGCTGTCTTCCCGGTGCCAGGAGACCCATGGAGCCATACAAATCGGTTTCCGGCCCGCTTCAGATGATTGAGAAGGGATGTTTGTATTTGAACTCGTGTGCTTGGAAGACACTTTGACTTGCTCTTCACATAGGTATGCTCGGCTGCAACTCGAGGAAGTTGTTCAAGTTGTGCTGAAAGATGTAGCGGTGATGAAAGAGCCCAATATTGGAGAGAGCGAAATAACATACATTTCACCGATGCTTCAATTGTGCGAAGAAGCGTTAAAGTAGTTGCCTGCGCCTATTGCAAAACGCACACCAACCAGTCAAATCAAGGGGTCGGGGGCTCTGATGGGGACAAACCGCAAACGAGTTAAGGGCATCATTTATACACGCCTTCACACCGTTTATCCTCTTGGCAATTTCACGCGCTAAGAATATCTTCTTTGCCCGATTTTGACTTTTGAGTAATTCAATCTCGTTTATCTGCTTTTTCAGGGCCCTGTCGATAGGAGTCTTGGATTGGAAGGGCAGTGGTTGTGGGAGTAGGCAGACGTACAAGTGAAACCTTTTGATCAACTGAACTACCTCGCGAGGGATTTGGTCCGTCAACAGCTCGAGCGGCTGCAGAATGGTCACATAAGCTCTTTGGATGTCCTCATCCAATCCTTTGAGATCATCATCGTTTCCACCGACAGTCTGCACAGATCATGCACAATGATACAAACATGAGATCGAGTGAATGATATGTCCTCTTCTATCACGGAAACAGAAAGGCGAGCTAACCTCGTAAACCTGGAGCCATGTCAGAAGTAAATTCGGAATTGCGTCAAGACCCGGAACCGGGGCCAACTTAAGAGCTTCAGCTGCAGTTTGTAGAACCAGCGTTATACCGCCAATGATTACTTTTTTTCGATCACTCTTTAAGCTAGCCGATGGCATGATCGTGAGTTCCGATAGGCCAGAAACGTTGATACCCTCAGAATCCAACTGTGCGTGATGACTGCTGGGCATAGCATGCGTCCCAAACGCCGTGAAGAGATCATCAATACCAATACTTCTAGTAAGGGGAAGATTGGAAGTGCTCAGTATGCTATGATTGGGAGAAAATTTGCGCCTGATCTTCCTCGATCTGCGGTCCGTGGAAGACGATGGTTCCTTCGGATCACTGCGGCGACTATCGGAAGCAGTCACTGCAGGCTCAAGATATGAAGGTCTTGCCGACCCTCTGAACTGATCGCGATGGGTGTTGTCGTGATCAGAGGATACATTGGGCCTAGTGACATGGACCTGCGGAACAGGAGACTCCGAAGGGGTCAAGGGATGCGATGCTTGCGAAGATGAGCCGGGAGCGGGACGCTTTCCTTTGTTGCAGGGATGAATAATCTTGGATGTATTTTTTTCAGACATTGCGCCAGTGCGATAGCGCTTGTGTGGAAGGGTGAACGAAGGACAGTACCAGCGCAATTGCGTGCCGCATGCACATGATGCGTATGAAAATGCTTTCGCAGAAGGAAGCTGGTTCAATCATAAATCAATTGGTTGCACAGGACTCAATAGATCGAGCCTGGATCGAGATCATGGGATTTAGTTTGCCCGATTTTCACGGAGTCATGAGTCCGTTCGTCCTCAACGACTCTTCGCACATCGAGGATACTTAATCGAATGTGCAAAATCAGGGTGCAGGGACGGGAAATCCTTCGTTCCATTTCGATTATCATGAAATTATGTCAGGCTGATCGATTAGAGTGCATGTATTAAGATATCAACAACATCATTGTGAAGTGGGGATGGACTGTAAGTTTGCGTCCATGAGTGGTAGGTCTGTCCGGATAGTAGTCTCCTTGGCTTGGCTGTTACCATGCCCATTGGAGTTGGGACCGGACTTGGGGACGGTCGGTGGTCTTCCAGGGCCTCTCCGATTGCTTTTCGCAGGTGACCCGCCACCAAATAACCCTCGGGTACCTCCCGAACGAAGGTGCTTCCCGAAGCCACCGACACTGGCACTCAGACCAGTTGTGAGCCAATTGCTGCTCTGCTCCTTCAGAGACTCCAATGTCGACTCTTGCTCATGCGTTGAAGCGGATGCAATCACAACATCTGCCAAGCCATCAGGAGGCGCAGGCATCGACTCAGGAAGCCCTTCAGTTTCCACAGTCGCACCTTCAGAGGCATCCGGACCTGTGTCCGTTGACTGTACTCCAGAAGGCTCTGGTGGGTGTCTGTCAACATGATCCAATTCACCAGAAGATGACTGCCCATGATTAACGCCATTCCTCGTTTGGACTTTCGAGAGGTGCAGTGAGCGCACTGTGGCACTGTCGCTCCCTGCGTCTGCAGGTATGTCCACGTCTTCTGACATGGCAGGTAGAGTGGACTTGACAAACATCGATACTGGCTGCGCATTGCGGGTTTGCCAAAATCCGGGGAGGGTGATCGGGGGAAAGAATGTCCGTCTTGGTGTAGGGGATTCAGCTCCATATGATGTTGATGCAGGGGCAGGGTTGCTGACGTCGATGCTTCCAGCTGTTGTTTGTATCAACCGTAAATTTCGGGATGGCCCGTTTGCTGCCTTCTAAAAACGTTGCTGCAAGAAGGAATGATATATACAACGAAAGCTCAAGCACGCACGCTGTCTGCAGAGTGGAGTTGCCTTCCCCAGCGTTGGTGGTAATGGTGAGGGCCAAAAGAAGGTTTTTGCGATTTGGCAGCGTGTGTCGCATGTCCAGGGCTTGCAAGTTGTGCTCTGTCATGAGCTTGCCAGCTGAGGTCGATAACGTATTCACAGCCTGAACCTGACGAACCTTACCTTTTCAATGTCTTTGTTGAGAAGGAACACGGCCTATTCAGTCTATACATGTCCACACCTTTGGAAAAGAGAGGGAACCTATCGTCGGGGTAGGTGGTGAGTAAAAGTTAATCATGGAAATTGGATATAGCACACATCCGAGGCCCATGCAAGCTAGGAATTGGGTCTTTAATCAGGCTACGACCCCAGTGCGTGTTGTTGGATGTGACAGCATATGACCCCAATAGAAGGTTAGGAGGCTGACCACCTGTGCGGCGTAGCCTAACGCAATTGCCATAGTGTCTTCGTTTACATCTGGGCATTTTAGGACATGGAAAGGTGGAACAATGTCAGCTGGGCTAGAGGGAATTGGTAATAGTACGTCTACTATGGTGAACAAAAGATCTGTTGGAGGGGAAGATACACTCCAGCGACCGCACGACAGTTACCCGTCTGGCCTGAAGCATTGCCTCCTGGGATGAAAAGCGCACCCTAGAAGAACAGCGTCCAGTTTTCAAGCGATAGCTGTGCGTACTCTTGCAAGGAAATCCAGTTCAGCAAGAAGGTCCCTGTTCAAAGAAAGTATCGCTTGCACGGCAGGAAGATTGGTTCTTCGTTGTCTAACTGCTTACGGCGGCCCTGGATGGTTGAACGGGCTGAGGATGATGGCAGGGTAGGAGTTTCATGTTTAATTTCGCGCTCACATCAATTGGACTCACTTTCCGACACTCCCAGGCAAATCAATGACTGTTGACTCATGCACTCGTCAGGTTGGGATTGAAAAACCGTGCCTACCAGTCGCATTAGTAAAGGGACCTTGGTTACAAGTATAGTACCTACCTTGGTGATCGAGCTATCCCCAACAAACATAAAATTCACTATATCCATCACGTTGCACAAAGATCTTAATTCTACATCCACCAGTAATTTGCGACAATGAGTCTAAGATATATCAATTTGCAATCCCAGTAACATACGAAACGGAAAGTACTTTAACGTATCTGCAAGAGATGCACCATGCTTCGCCTTAGCCTCTCCCCATGCTTGACACCCCCCGCATTCGGTTCTGCATCGCTGTGTCTAGATCTATGATGCACCCGGCGATTAATGACCGTTGCCAGAGCATCAATTCCACTGTCCGAAACTTTCTGGTGTTCTAGAGACGGCGAGCATTCAGGAGTGATGTCAATTGACGACCCAAGGTACGGTTTTCCGGTAGCACCCAGGCTAAACACTAGAGAGTTAGGCAGCAGATATACCGTCGTTGACTGAAAATGGAGGATAAATTTCAGCGCGATGCAAAATCTCATGAACATCAGAAGCGTACATCTGGGGCAAAAGGCTTCAAACGCTGGAGGTCAACACGCCACGTGGTGAGAGGATCCCAGAAGGTCCTTCTGTGGCGTAGGCGTCCCTTACTTTATACTCGGCAGTTGTCTGCGACCAGACGTCTGACGACCCCAAACAGCCACTTCAAATCCGGTTGCACTGAGATTCGTGCCGGCAGAAAACTCGTCCTTGAGTATCAATGATGGGTTGGTCGACGACGGATGAATGGATGGAATGGAGCTTGGAATTTTGTCATATTCTCGCTCCGAGCGGATGAGGAAGGGAACGAGGACGAATGTAGGGAGCTCGAGCGAGCTCCTCCGCGACCTCGGCTGAGGGAATCCAGGCCTTGTTAGACTATGGGAAGAGGATGAGGAAAGCCTAGATATCATGTTACGTGCACTTCAACGGGTGGGACGCTTAGGTGTGCCCTGAGACTGATGGGCACTTGCTTCATTTCATTCGTGGTAGCAAGCAAATGGTCAGGAAGGTCTCGAACAAGCGAGATGAAAAAATAGCTTCCAAATCACTCTGCGTTGACAAAGACGAAACAGAATTCAAGTTTGAGGAACAAAGAGAGGATGCAGCTCGACCTCTCTTATGTGAGTGGGAGTTGGTCATTGATGAAGCCTGCTTTGTGGAGCACCTCTTCCCCAATCGCGTCTGTGACGGCACCGTCAGAGGGCACAGTCCTGAGAGACACTGCAGATGCTGATGACACACGTCTGGTATGATGGCGTGCCAGAGCAATATCCAGATTGCCGAGTCCATGGCCGTCATTCCGCAAAAGGTAGCTGGGAAGAGGTCTAGAAATGACCCTATATAGTAAACCTTGACGCATTAAACCGACAAGCATTTGGGGCGTGCCTCGTTGAAGGGGGGGTGATGAGCTTGATGGCTGTTTCCACAAGGCATTAGTCTCCAAAACCATTTTTGGTGGGGAGGAGGAGGCGGAAGGTGACGTGGATAAAATACTCAGCTCACAGGAAGGGCTGCGAGGAGTTGGAGTATAGAAGAGGGAACCTGGAAAACGGAGCTCTGACGGTTTGGATTTTGGGCAGGCGGAAAATACGCTGCCGCTTGCGCGAGACAGGAAGGTGTGGATGGCTGGGGCCCACTTTCAATGGAGGTGCCTGGAGCAGGCATCAATGGTTGTGCTGGTGAAGACGATATGGACGCTGGCGGCGAGGTCGATTCGGTCTTCAGAGGCGTATCTTTGGGGGGCAAGCTCTCCGATCGAGCCTTCACTGGAGTGCTTTCTAAGGATACAACATCCTTGGATGCGATCCTCGACACCGCACGAGTAGACGTTACAGAAGAAAGGGCCAGCAGAATTTCGATGACATAGCGGACACAGGTTAGGCATAGTCAAGGGGGTAAGTCCCGCTCTCTCACTTGGCACATCTATTTCAGTAGCAACTGAGCTCGTGGCATCCGTCGGGCGCAGGGTCAGAGAAGCTGCCAAATTAGACACCGCAGCGGTCATCAGCATAGCCATAGGTTCCTCAACAGAAGAAACTAGGCTTTTGGGCAATGGTGTAGGGGATTCAGGGCGCAATGATTGTGATCTCCTTGGGAGACTAAGCGATTCTCCAGTTATTTGAGATATCAGTCCGCGTTCCAAATGACTACATGCAGAAGGAACCGACGGTGGACGAGCTTTTATCGTTTCAAAGGGACGCGGCTCAGATGGAGAAGTAGGTTGTTCTTCAGATCGTTCCCTTGAAAAGCGGTTTGATGTGCTCCGAGTCAGCTTGGCATCAGTGGCTTACTGTTTACTCCATAAATTGCTTGAATGACTCGTATTTCACGGAATTGGCATGGGAGGAGGTGGAGATCCTAATCCAAAGCCACTTCTCGGCACAGGTGCCCCACCAAGTTTGTCGAAACGCGCTGGTTTGTTGATTCGTAGGCACCTTTTCCGACGGCGAGTGCTGCGGGCCTGGAGATAGTCGAAAATCGTGACGATCCGTTCCCAGGAGGCGTAAGTCCACTGTTGGCTTGCAGCACAGCAATACGTTCCTTGAGAGTGGACCTGCCGGGTGCATGTTCAGGACGTTTGGATTGATGACTTACAACAGTGTGCATGCACATATTGAAATCTAACCCAGCCTTCGCAGGTGCACTTTCATCTCACGTCTCAGTACACAATCTGTCCGCGTTAAAGTGGACAACCGTTGAAATCAGCAAAAAATGCATTGCGACTTCAGGGCACCAGAATTCTATTGAAATAATTTCAGCATCCTCCGTCACCCTGCCTCCTTTAAGCCTAAGGAGATCGTGAACTCTGCTCTCCTGGGACTCCAGGATTTGGTACTTATTGTAAGAAGCGATATAAAATACTATACCTACTCTCCTTTCGGGGGACCATGCTTCCGTTGTTCGCTTTCGGCTCTATGGCCTCAATACTCCCAGAATTTTCCTCCTTGGACTTAATATGGGCTGGTCTCTCTATAATTGTCGGCTCTCCCACCTTCCCTACATGTCGTTTTTCGCGAGTGGAATCAGCGTATTCTGGTCCTGTTAGTTTCCGGCAAATTAGTAGGAATTGTGGAACTCACCTCTCTCCATCATCGCTCCCTTCAAAGGCTCCTGCCAAATATATACCAGATGATACTCCTTCATTGTGTATTTGTCAGCGCCGGGGCCTGCTTGCGTCCTGGGCCGTGAAGGAGCTGTAGAACAAGCAAATAGGGAAAGAGCCGGTTCAGCCTCGACATTCCGTTATCTTGATATACCCGTGTGCTAGCTACTCTGAAATTTATCACGCAGGGAGCTAGACCTGCACAAGACCTACAAGGATCCAACAGGATGAGCTCAGAATGTTCCCAAGCGAGAACCTCAATGCAATACGATTGCTTTGGCCAACTCCGCGCGGCGAGTGAGCTGATCTGGGGCTAGGGAAGTGGTAAACTCGGCAATGAAGAGAAGGTATCATCGAACAAATCATTGTGCGCAGTTAGTGTCCCCAAATGAAAATATCGACCCCGAATATTGTACAGCAGAAGGACGCCAGTCTGGAACTCCGAACTTCGCGCAAGTCGAGATTGAAATCTCGCATTTCTTCTCATTCATGTCGTCCGATTCCCTGCCTACCTTAATCATACCTTTCCACTCCTCGCTGGTTACAGAGAGGTCTGGAACATCATTTAATCAGGATTGTATCTGTCGAGGACTCAATCTGTAAATATGGCCAGCGTGCGACTATGCTTTTTTTGCGTGTCAGTGCGAATACGGGACTTTGTCTGCTTATATGCTAGCTCGTCTGCCATGGTCCACATCATAAAGGGCCCCTGGAAGAACCTCTTCAGTGGCACTTTCGTCGGGAATGTCGTGTATGAATGCTGCTTAAACCATTTACACGCTCACAAGTCTTTTCGGGATACTCACAATGCCCGTCGTCCTTTGTTACAAGCGCTTCCGTCGGGATGATGGAATGGACGTACTCGGCAGCAACACGTCCTGGGCCCATTATGGCGCATTGCCACCTAAGCTCAACTTCGAACTGCCTCTAAGATGTCTCAATCATGATGTTGGTCACCATCGCACTCTCGGCCTTTCACGTTATGCACTAACCACTTGATATTCCCTGCATTTGCATCGCCAACAAGACGTCGTTTTTCAGCTCCAACTTAAGGAATCCTTTCAACCATGCCTTTTTACTGTTTCTACCATACTCCATTTCTGGAAGTGTTTAAAGAACACAAGCTACGCATGTCAAGCGCCTCTACGCAATAGGGGCCTGTAAAGCGGGAAAGAGCAAGTCAATACACCGAGCGAACTTTCGGACGTTGCGGCTCTGCAATTTCCCAAACGAAGTTAAGTTTGACAGCACTTGCTTTATTAGGGGGTTTCACGGTAGGCAAGATTGGTCTAAACAGGTGTCTAGACTGAAATCCTAAACTGACCCAAGATTGATCAAAACTGGTCAATCTTGTCAATCTAGCTGTTGGGGCTCACATGCCCCAAATGGTCTAAACTGACCCAAGACTCAACTCAAGACTGGACTCCAAGATTGACCAGTTTTGATCAATCTTGGGTCAGTTTAGGATTTCAGTCTAGACACCTGTTTAGACCAATCTTGCCTACCGTGAAACCCCCTAATGAAACTGGCCGAATTGACCAATTTCCCAAAGCATTTTAGTAAAGGTGTCACGTTTCAATTCAGTTCAGAAGTGAACTCAATTGTTTTCAAACCATTTGAAGTGAAACCCTGAGGACCTTTTGCTGATGTTTCGTCCTGCTGCCACACTTCAGCCATTGACACCCTTTTTTGAGATCAGTCTTCCAGTACCAGGGCGGGTGTTAGGTATGGGTCAGCAAACAGGGACGACTGGCAGGGACAAGGCTCCGGGGTTGGGCTTCGGCCTCAGCGACTCCAAGAGAGCGCTGTGCCCACCTACTGTCTCATTGCCCACATTTCGAAGTGGCTTGAGGCTGCCTGTTAGACACTGATCCGGAGGTGGGCACCGGAGGTCGCCGATGCGGGCCGCTATTGGCCGCAATGCCTCAGACAAGGCCCGAGGGTAGGGCATTTGGCCTCAGCAACTCTAAAGGGAGTGCTGTGCCCCCTAGCTGTCTCTTGGCCCTCATTTCGAACTCACTGGGGCTGCCTTGTTGGGGTCAGGGCTTGGGGTCGTGGTCAAATCGATATTAGAGCTAAAGTATCATACAGGATATATATAAGGAGAAGGAATGAATGGGAGCGGACCCGGGCCGAAGGCCGAAGGGTCCGGAAGCAAACAAAGATAAGGAGTGGGGTTGGCCGCTCCGCGGCCGGCAATGACCGAGGGTCAAACAAACAATAACAGGTAAATAAAGGAAAGAGCGTAGGGCCGTGATAGTGGCGATGGTATCATAGTAGCGCTAGACTCGGAGTTGGGCCAGAGTCAGGCGCGGGGATGGTAGCAGCCCTGTAGGGGCCAAGTGGGCGAGGTAGAGGAGTCGCGCTAGGCGCGGTGCCGGAGGCGGACTCAGGGCAGGAAGGTTGGTGTGGCTGTAGGGGAGTCGGCCAGGTGCAGGGGAGCCTAGGGGCAAGCGGGGGAGTGAGCAGGGAGTCTTCATGGAGGATAGGGCTGAGGTCGGGGCTTGCACTCATGCTCGCATAGCGGGAATGGGCTCGGGCGGCATCGGGATGGGCTAATGGGCTGGAATGCATGGTCGTGACACTGCCTTGTTAGGGGGGACAAAACCTAGTTGATATTCAGACTAAAGTTATGATGATGTAATATACAAGTATATATATAGTAAGGAAACTGAATGGGTCAGGTGACAAACAAAACAAAAAGGGGCCGGCATCCGGGTCAGAGTGCATGGTCGTGACAGCAGGGCAGGAACGTCATCAACATTGTTGCGAGTGGCAGCTCAAAAGTGCTGATAATGACAACGCGACTAATGAGACAGTGGTTGCCATGCATGGACTCCGAACTCACACTTATGTCAAAAGCTGTCGACAACCCAACTATGACCAAAGGAATTAATTCATTAATCTGTCAGGGCACACCTGCCTGACCCCGTGCCGCTCCCTGCACCGTACTGCACTACCCCATTATCACTCCCCGTCTCCCCTTCCCCATTTTCCCCCTTCTCCCTATCTCTATTTCTATTTCTATTCTACGGTCGATTTCCCTTTCTCCATGTACTACTACATACCTGACCCCGCCCCCTGATCGCCGCACGCGCCGCGCACACTCCCGCCTACTGAGCGGCCACCTCCGGGATCTCCTGCGGAGACACCCAGGAAGGTGCGGCTGTGTGCGGAGATGACGTGGCTTTCTCCACGTGACCCTGGCCGCATGTATATAATAGTGCCTGGGGTGGGAACAGAAGAAGCAGCCTTCTTCTCAACTTCCCACTTCAGTGGTCGGGGACGCTCACCCTGCGACAGGATCGCCACTACGCACAGCCGCTACTCGTCCCACCAAGTCCCGCGCGCAGGGACCTCGCCGCTTTCGGAGCTGTCCCTGACAGCAGAAGAAGGCTTCAACCTCATCTCCCCCACCTCCCCCGCTATGGTGACTGAAGAGCAGTATGACGAACTGCTGTCCCGATTCCATGAGCTCCAGGCCATTGTAGAAAGCCAAGCTCAGAACCAACCCCCAGCCGCACCCGCACCGGCGCCGGTTCCCGCACCAACACCTGCACCCGCCCCCAGAGCCAAACCGCCTAAAGTCGCCCCTCCAGGGTCAAATGAATGGCATGGTCACCAAATACCGGTGTAGGAATGAGATACGGGAGAGGAGGAACATAACCGGGATTGAAAATCCAGAATTCAGAATTGTGCACACGATATTGAGCAACCAACTCGGATGTATCCGTTGACCAGATGAAAGCGCAGTTCGCATCATAAGCGCCTACATATCGGCCTCCAGGAGAGAATCCAACTGTGTGACGTTGAGGAGTAGATGGAAGTTGGGGATCAGAAGCAGTGAAAGGAGCCAAAGAAGATACAAGGAGCCGAATGGATGGCTCTCCTGAAAAATATAGGAGTGCCACGTTGCTGTACCAATTCTGAGTTGGAGGAACTCGGACGATAAAGTATCCATTGCTCGACGATGCAGTTATAGCAGGGTGATGACCACTAGTAAGAGCGCCACATGGCACCAAACGTGTGCCGTGACTGAGAACGGAGATGTTTCCATCAGTGTCCTCAGTGACAATCTGAGCATTGGCACCAAGGATAAACTCTATCCAAACTGGATGGTTGAAAGAATCGGATTGGAAGCGAGAGATTGTACGCTGATGGTTGATGTCTGCAACTTCGATGACCCCATTTCCGAAACCGAGTGCGACATGAGAACCATCTTGAGATATCACTGCACAGGTCACAACCCCATTGCGAACGTCATGTGCAGTGAATTCGGCTTCGTGATTAGTTACATTCTCGCCATATTTATCAAGCACCTTTGGCAGGTTGCTCAGTTTTGCCTTGGCAACCTCCTGAGCATTACGTGCATCCTCGCTCAAAGGAATAAAGTGACCGGAAAACTCGCCGGATATGGAGAACACTTGAACGGGATCGGAGAGATGCCCATACAATTCATAGAGTGACGACGAGGTGAATGGAAGGAATGATCGATAAAGATGCCAAGGATTGAAACGGGGACTATGCCACAAAGTGGTTCCGAAAATTTTGTCAAACAGTTTCATTGATTTGTGATTCTATAGAGCGTCAAGTGATATCATTCAAATACATGAAATATACACGGAAACTCACGGAGAATTCATCCAAATCACTCCACTTAGCCCCAACCGTCCAAACCGTCCACCCTTTAGAAACTGCCAAGAATGGTGGCAAGTTTTGTGTCAGGAGTCATTCAAAGTCTCTTTGCAATTCATTAGACTCTTCTGAAAAGAGTGATGAAGGATCCAAGTGGAAAAACAACCACTCGAATGAATACTGGATGTAGTCGGGTAGCCTTTCCACCGAAAAATCATCCCACTTCTTTCTATCCCCCAAAGGGAGTTCAGTGGGAATCCCAACCTCGTTCCTTTGAATAGCGCCATTGACAAGTCGAAGGAGTCGTAATCCAAGAAAATGTCCTTCAGGATCATCAATAAAGAATATCTTGTCTTCTTCCTCACCGATAGGGTCTCCCCAGACTCCTTCCCAGTCGCTCACATGATTTCTCCGAGGTTTAGCCGCAACTTACGTTGCCTCCGAAATCTGTCGAGCGACTGGTACAACTTGCAACATGTGATGTTCCCACGCTAAGTTGTAATGAGTTGTACATAGGTTACGGGATATAATTTTTAGTATTTACGCATGCGGTCATTGTACCCGACCCAACCCATGGAGACTAAGGGAGCACATCCAAGGTTGTGAAGATAATATCCGGGTGTGCGCGAAGTTTAAGGGTTTATATATTACTTAGTTGCCAGTTACTTGTTTGTGCCCGGTGGCATAAGTGGTATAGTGCTAGCTGAGGCTATGCGGTTTTTTTAAGTGGCACATGTTCGATTCTCACTTAGTAAAACTTTTTTCGGGCCCTCCCATGGAATAATTGTGTGAAATGGTTGTTTTCTGTGCACTAAGGAGTGGAGGGTATGAAAAAAAAAAGTCCCCTAAGTGAGAATCAAACATGTGCCACTTAAAAAAACCGCATAGCCTCAGCTAGCGCTATACCACTTATGCCACCGGGCACAAACAAGTGACTGGCAACTAAGTAATATATAAACTCTTAAACTTCACGCACACCCGGATATTATCTTCACAACCTTGGATGTGCTCCCTTAGTCTCCACGGGTTGGGTCGGGTACAATGACCGCATGCATAAATACTAAAAATTATATCCCGTAACCTATGTACAACTCATTACAACTTAGCGTGGGAACATCACATGTTGCAAGTTGTACCAGTCGCTCGACAGATTTCGGAGGCAACGTAAGTTGCGGCTAAACCTCAGAGAAATCATGTGAGCGACTGGGAAGGAGTCTGGGGTCTCCCATGATAAATTCCTTCGCCGTTGCATGATAGAATCCGACGTCCACATCATATCCTTCTGAATCATCACTAAAGAACATCTTGTCTTCCTCGCCAATAGGGTCTCCCATGATAGATTCCTTTGCCATCGCATGATAGAATCCGACGTCTACATCATTTGAGGGGACATGAATTATCGAGCTGATAGGATTCAGTATTGCACAGAACTCATCCTCAGCAATCCCCAAGAGCTGCGACATGCTGTAAACACTGAGTGATCCTTTCATAGCAATGACCATCCCAACTACTTGGCGATAATTCTCCACTACATGTGAAGGGATACTTGATGAGTTAGGCCTGAAGGCTCGTCGCATTATTCGCAAGTACTCCTCATTGAGATCCTTGGGCGCATCTTGGAGGTCGAGGAAGTATCGAAACTCTAATCTGAGGACAGAACCCTTTTGAATCCGAAACCGAACTTCCCGTATCCGGATCGAGGCCATGACAGGCAAACCACGGCAAGCCAGAGTGAAGGCATCAAGATCGTCCATCAATGGTTTCCACTGTGACTTTCTGATGCAGTCCTTAAGCCCGTCTGTTACCATAAGCCGGATCGTGTCAAAAGTCTCGTCTGGTGCAACCTTATCCATGTCTTCACATGGGATGACAAATCCCTGATCTCGAGATTCATCCCAAGCTGAAACAACTTGAGATTCAGGTCGAGAACTGACCAGTATGGAAAATGCTGATGGCAACTCGTCAAGCGCAAGCACAAGGATCATCAGAGTCCCAAGTGTCACTGAATCCCCACATTCATCTAAACCATCCAAGATGATGGTAAAACGTTTCTCGCTTGCAGACAATATGCCCTTGAGACCATCCATCGGCTTGAGAACCAAAGTCCTCATTTGCTCCTCCGGAGGAAGACGCTGAACCAACTCTGAATTCGGCTGTCGAAGGCGTTTGACGAGCGAGACCTTGAAGTCCCCATTAAAGATCGCAAGTTGACGTGCCAGTGTAGAAGGAAACTTCTCCAAAGAATCGAGGCCCGTCCCCTTTTGATTTTTGTCCCAAAAGAAAGAGGCTGCAAGAGTACCTTCCTTCTCAAGTATCGATGCGATGCTCATAGATACCGCCGTTTTCCCGGTGCCAGGGGACCCACGGAGCTAGACAAATCGGTTTCCGGCCCCCTTCAGATGATTGAGAAGGGATGTTTGTATTTGAACTCGTGTGCTTGGAAGACACTTCGACTTGCTCTTCACGTAAGTGTGCTCGGCCGCAACTCGTGGAAGCTGCTCAAGCTTTGCTTAAAGATGTAGCGGTGAGCCTAATATTGGAAAGAGCGAAATAACATACACTGCACCGATGCTTCAATTGTGCGAAGAAGCGTTAAAGTAGTTGCTTGCGTCTATTGAAAAATACACATTAGCCAATTAAATCGAGGGGTTGGGAGCTCTGATGGTGACAAACCGCAAACGAGTTAAGGGCATCATTTATACACGCCTTCACACCGCTTATCCTCTTGGCAATTTCACGCGCTAAGAACATCCTCTTCATCCGATTTTGACTTTTGAGTAACTCGATCTCGTTTATCTGCTTTTTCAGGGCCCTGATCATAGGATTCTTGGATTAGAAGAGCAGCAGCTGTGGGAGTGGGTGGACATACAAGTGAAATCTTTTGATCAACTGAACTACCTCGCGAGGGATTTGGTCCGTCAACAGCTCGAGTGGCTGCAGAATGGTCACATAAGCTCTTTGGATGTCCTCATCCAATCCTTTGAGATCATCATCGTTTCCACCGACAGTCTGCACAGATCATGCACAATGATACAAACATGAGATCGAGTGAATGATATGTCCTCTTCTATCACGGAAACAGAAAGATTAGCTAACCTCGTAAACCTGGAGCCACGTCAGAAGTAAATTCGGAATTGCGTCAAGACCTGGAACCGGGGCCAACTTAAGAGCGTCGACTGCAGTCTGTAGAACCAGCGTTAGAGCGCCAATGATTACTTTTTTTCGATCGCTTTTTAAGCTAGCCGATGGCGTGATCGTGAGTTCCGATAGGCCAGAAACATTGATACCCTCAGAATCCAACTGTGCGTGATGACTGCTGGGCGTGGCATGCGTCCCAGACGCCTCGAGGAGATCATCAATATTGTCAGTAGGGGCGAGGGGAGATGGAGGAAGCACTCTATTATCAGCGGATGGTTGGAGGAAGGGTGTGGATGGTCTCGACTGTCCAACAAGATCGGGAGTGCTCGGCTTGCTAGGATTGGGAGAAAATTTGCGCCCGATCTTCCTCGATCCGCGGCCCGTGGAAGACGATGGTTCCTTCGGATCACTGCGGCGACTATCGGAAGCAGTCAATGCAGGCTCAAGATATGAAGGTCTTGCCGACCCTCTGAACTGATCACGATGGGTGTTGTCGTGATCAGAGGATACATTGGGACTAGTGACATGGACCTGCGGAACAGGAGACTCCGAAGGGGTCAAGGGATGCGATGCTTGCAAAGATGAGCCGGGAGCGGGACGCTTTCCTTTGTTGCGGGGACGAATAATCTTGGATGTATTTTTTTCAGACATTGCGCCAGTGCGATAGCGCTCACGTGGAAGGGTGAACGAAGGACAGTACTAGCGCAATTGCGCGCCGCATGCACATGATGCGTATGAAAATGCTTTCGTAGAAGGAAGCTGGTTCAATCATAAATCAATTGGTTGCACAGGACTCAATAAAGCAAGTCCTGTCAAACTTACTTCGTTTGGGAAATCGCAGAGCCGCAACGTCCGAAAGTTCGCTCGGTGTATTGACTTGCTCTTTCCCGCTTTACAGGCCCCTATTGCGTAGAGGCGCCTGACATGCGTAGCTTGCGTTCTTTACACACTTCCAGAAATGGAGTATGGCAGAAACAGTACAAAGGCGCTGTTGAAAGGATCCCTCAAGTTGGAGCTGAAAAACGATGTCTTGTTGGCGATGCAAATGCAGGAGATATCAAATGGTTAGTGCATAACGTGAGAGGCCGAGAGTGCGATGAACACCATTGATTGAGACATCTTTTAGAGGCAGTTCGAAGTTAAGGTTAGGTGGCAATGCACCATAGTGGGCCCGGGACCGTACATGTTGCTGCCGGGTCCATACATCATCCCGACGGAAACGCTTGTAACAAAGGACGACGGGCATTGTGAGTATCCCTGAATGATTTGTGAGCGTGTAAATGGTTTAGGTAGCATTCATACATGGAATTCCCGACGAAAGTACCACTGAAGAGGTTCTTCCAGGGGCCCTTTATGATGTGGACCATGGCGGACGAGCTAGCATATAAGCAGACAAAGTCCCGTATTTGCACTGACACACGAAAAAGGCACAGTCGCACGCTGGCCATATTTACAGATTGAATCCTCAACAGATACAATCCTGATTAAATGATGTTCCAGATCTCACTGTAACCAGCGAGGAGTGGAAAGATATGATCAAGGTAGGCGGGGAATCGGACGACATGAATGAGAAGAATGCGAGATTGAAATCTCGACTTGCGCGAAGTTCGGAGTTCCAGACTGGCGTCCTTCTGCTGTACAATATTCGGGGTCGATATTTTCATTTGGGGACACTAACTACGCACAATGATTAGTTCGATGATTCCTTCTCTTCATTGCCGAGTTTACCACTTCCCTTGCCCAGATCAGCTCACTCGCTGCGCGGAGTTGGCCGAAGCAAATCGTACTGCATTGAGGTCTCGCTTGGGAACATTCTGAGCTCATTTTTGTCATCCTGTTGGATCCTTGTAGGTCTTGTGCAGGTCTAGCTCCTTGCATGATAAATTTCAGAGTAGCTAGCACACGGGTACATCAAGATAACGGCATGCCGAGGCTGAACTGGCTCTTTCCCTATCTGGTGGCAATAACGACAGGTGGGCTTGTTCTACAGCTCCGTCATGGCTTGGGATGCAAGCAGGTCCCGGTGCTGACAAATACATGATGAAGGAGTATCATCTAGTATATATATTTGGCAGGAGCCTTTGAAGGAAGCGATGATGGAGAGAGGTGAGTTCCACAATTCCTACTGATTTGCCGGAAACTAACAGGACCGGAATATGCTGATTCCACTCGCGAGGTAGGGAAGGTGGGAGAGCCGACAATTATAGAGAGACCAGCCCATATTAAGTCCAAGGAGGAAAATTCTGGGAGTATTGAGGCCATAGAGCCGAATGCGAACAACGGAAGCGCGGTTCCCCGAAAGGAGAAGTAGGCATAGTATTCTATATCGCTTCTGTAAGTAACAAATCCTGGAGTCCCAGGAGAGCTCAGGTGCAGAGTTCGTGATCTCCTTAAGGATGCCGAAATTATTTCAATAGAATTCTGGTGTCTTGACGCATTTTTTGCTAATTTCAACGGTTGTCCACTTTGACGCGGACGATTGTGTACCGAGATGTGAGACGAAAGTGCTCCTGCGAAGGCTGGGTTAAATTTCAACATGTGCGTGCGCACTGTTGTAAGTCATCAATTCAAGCGTCCTTAACACGCACCCATCAGGTCCACTCTCAAGGAACGTATTGCTGCGCTGCAAGCCAACAGTGGACTTACACCTCCTGGGGATGGATCGTCACGATCTTCGACTCCATCTGCAGGCCCGCAGCGCTCGCCGTCGGAAAAGGTGCCTGCGAATCGCTTGAGCGACAAAATAGCGCGTTTCGACAAACTTGGCGGGGCACCTGTGCCGAGAAGTGGCTTTGGATTAGGATCTCTGCTTTCTCCTGTGCCAATTCCCCGAAATACGAGTCATTCAAGCGATTTATGGAGCAAACAGTTAGCTACTGATGCCAAGCTGACTCGGAGCACATCAGACCTCTTTTCAAGGGAACCACAACCCACTTCTCCATCTGAGCCACGTCCCTTTGAAACGATACCCCATTTCCTGAGTCTCCTCGCCTATACACAGTCTTTCTCCAACTCCTCGCAGCCCTTCCTGGGAGCTGGGTATTTTATCCCCTGTCACGTTCCGCCGCCTCCGAACCTCCGAGGGGGATTTTTCAGACCAATGCCTCAAAGTCCTGGAGTGGATACGGAGCCATCGACCTTATTGCCCCCCTTCAACGAGGCATGGCCCCAATGCTTGTCGGTTTAATGCGCCACGGTTTACTCCAACATGCAATCAAACTTCCTTAGAGTACTATGCTTAGCATTGATGAGGTATTTATCAGGAATCCGACCGATAGGGTCATTTCTGGACCTCTTCCCAGCTACCTTTTGCGGAATGACAGCCATGGACTTGACGATCTGGATATCGCTCTGGCACGCCATTGTACTAGAGGTGTGTCATCAGCATCTACAGCAACTCAGGACTGTGCCCTCTGATGGTGCCATCACAGACGCGATTGGGGAAGAGGTGCCCCACAAAGCTGGCTTCATCAAGACCAGCCCCCGGCGGTTCGGCCTACTGCATCGCACAAGAGAGGTCGAGCTGCACCTTCCTTGTTCCTCGAACTTGAATCCTGTCTTTGTCAACGCAGAGTGATTTGGAAGCTATTGTTTCATCTCGCTTGTTCGAGACCTTCCTGGCCATTTGCTTGCCACTACGGACAAAAGTGAAGCAAAATGATCTCCAACCTTATGCCCTCAGTCTCAGGACGCGCCTAAGCGTCCCACCCACTGAAGTAGATGCAGCATGATATCTAGGCCTTCCTCATCTCATAGTCCAACAAGGCTTGGGTTCCCCCGGCCGAGCCCCAGCCGAGGGCGCGGAGGAGCTCACTCGGGCTCCCACATTCGTCCTCGTCGTTCCCTTCCTCATCTAGCTTGGAGCGAGACTATGACGAAATCACCCCATCTATTCATCCATCATCGACCAACCCATCATGGAGAATTTTCCCCCTGCGCGAATCTCAGCGCAACTAGATTTGAAGTGACTGTTTGGGGCCGTCGGACGTCTGGTCGCCAGACCACCGCCTAGGATAAAGGGACGACTATGCCACGGAAGGGCCTTCTGAGTGGATCCTCTCCCCACATGGCGTGTTGACCTCCAGCGTTTGAAACTGTTTGCCCCAGATGTACGCTTCTGATCTTGATCAGATTCTGTATCGCGCTGAAATTTATCCGACGACGGAATATCTGCCGCCTAACTCTCTAGTGTTTAGCCTGGGTGCTACCCGGAAACTGTGCCTTGGGTCATCGAGCGACATCACTCCTGAACACTCGCGGGTGTGAAGCGTGGGAGAGGTTACGGTGAACGGTGGCACGTCTCTTGCAGATACGTTAAAGTGTGCTTTCCGTTTCGTATGTTACTGGGATTCCGAATTGACATATCCTTAGACTCGTTGACGCAAATTACTTGGTGGATGTAGAATTAAGATCTTTGTGCAACTTAATAGATACAGTGAATTTTATGCTTGCTATGGGGATAGCACGATCGCCAAGGTGAATACTATGCTTATTTATAACTAACGTCCCTTTACTAATGCGAGTGGTAGGCACGGTTCCTCAATGAATTACATTTCCAACTTGACGAGTACATAAGTCAAATTCACCTGGGAGTGTCGGAAAGACGTGAGCGCCAAATTAAACATGGAACCCCGATCCTGCTGTCATCCTTGGCCCGTTCAACCATCCAGCGCCGCCGTAAGCAGTTAGATGAATGAAGAACCAATCTTCGTGCCGCGCAAGCGATACTTTCTTCGAACAGGGACTTTCTTGCTGAACTGGACTTGCTTACATCTCGCAAGAGTACGGACGGCTATCCCTTGGACATTGGACATTCTTCTAAGTTGTTCTTCTAAGGTGCGCTTTTCATCCCAGGAGGCAATGCTTCAGGCCAGGCAGGCAACTGTCATGCTGTCGCTGGAGTGTATCTTCCTCATAGAGTCAAAATCCCCTCCAACAGATCGATTGTTGGGAGTCGCAGCCTGATCAAAGACCCAGTTTCTAGCTTGCACGGACCCGAACGCGTGCTCTGCCCAATTAACTTTTACTCGCCACCTACCCTGACGATGGTTCCCAAAGGTGTGGACATGTATAGATTTGAGTACGCCGTGTTCCTTCCCAACAGGACATTGAAAAGGTAAGGTTCGTCAGGTTCAGGTTTTGAACACGTTACCGACTTCAGCTGGCAAGCTCATGACAGAGCACAACTTGCAAGCCCTGGACATGCAACACACGCTGCCAAATCTCAAAAGCCTTCTGTTGGCCTTCACCACCGACGCTGCGGAAGGTGACTCCAATCTGCAGACAGTGCGCGTGCTCGAGCTTTCGTTATATATATCATTCTCATAGCAACGTTTTTTAAGAGGCAGCAACCGGGACCATCCTGAAATTTGCGGTCGATACAAACCACAGGTGGAGACGTCGATGCCTGCAACCCGGTCTCTGCATCAACATATGGAGCCGAATCTCCTACACACAGACAGACATTCTTTCCCCCAATCACCCTCCCCGGGTTTTGGCAAACCCGTGACGTGCGACCAGTTTCGACGTCCGTTAAGTCCACCCCACCTGCAAAGTCAGAAGACGCGGTGTAGGAGAAATAACGGCCACACTATGGAAACCCATTATGGAAATATGCCAGATAAATCACAAAACCTCATACGACAAGTAGATATGAGAACATAGAAGGACCTGAATTTTAACGAATTTTACGAATTTTTACGAATTATTACGACTATACACGATAAATTGAAAGAAAGAAAAATAACAAAAATACTTCAAGCTTACCATCAACGAGACGGAATTCTCGGGGGAATTTATAGCAAATATTAAACCAAGAATTAGGACAATCGACCAAGATTTGACTATAAAAATAATCAGAGAACCTCCACGGAAACTACTTTCCCACGTCCGCACACATAGCAAGGATGGAAGTACCACGGAACAAAGATTCCTCAGGAACTAATGCAAAAGTCAAAGTCGTGTTTATAATAGGAAATGTAGATGTCACCCAAACGGAACCAATGAGAGTAATTATAGGGGAAACTACCCATAAACGACGGAGATATGACTAAAACTCCTGCAAAACGAGGACAATGTCTAAAAAGCAAGCGCGAAGATTAACTAGTAACGACCGAGACAAGCTTGATAGCCCATTAGAAAGGAAAGGATCTACTCTTAATCCTCCCAAATTTCCATAATAAAAGGATCATGCGTTAATGAGAAATCCAATAACGGGAATAGCGACATCAAAAGTCCGAGCTCAGGGACAAGACAATGATTGCGTAGGATCCATAATTAAAACATACAACGAAATTTACACGGAAATTATGAAAAATAGGAAACTATAGTTATGCAAATTCTCAGCCCAAACGGTCCAGCCGTTGTGAAGTTATACCCATGACGGGAATATAGGAATCCGCATCATGTGTAATGACACGTGAGGGTGGCGATGCGCAGGGAACCGGCCGTCGGAACCGAGATCCGCACTTCGGCAGATCGTGAAGACCAATTTCCGTCCAAATAAGGAAGAGCCTGGTCAAAACAAAGCACGAAAAGTGCAAAACAACCTTAGATCATGAGGGAAAAATCTGAAATAAATCACAGAAGCCCATATGAAAGAAATAAACACCCGCGCATATCATAAATCCCGAACAACTAAACGAAAACGGCTCCCGCATACGAACAACTATGGGAACGACGCACGTGATTACCGAATGTGCGCGCGAAACTTTGCTAACTCAACGAATACAGGGAAATAGGACACAACCTTAGTACCATTGGAAAGGTGGGAATAAATGAAAATTTATGATACCAAGAACGTGAGAAAACATCCAGAAATGAATGAGATACAAGGACATGAAGTTAGAAACCTGAAAACACGCGGGAAGACAGCTTCAAGAGGTCTAGAGCCCTAAATAAAATACATAAAAATATGATATCTTCGAGGACGACCTACTATAACAACGAACAATACATATGGAGGATTAGGATGTGATAATACAAAGGGGAATCAGGGAATATGAACGAAATTCACGAAAACTACTAAACTACGACGGACCATGGCGGGAATTTTAGGGAACGATGTTCTAATGAAGTAGAGAGCTATAACACATTCATTTGAGTAATTCTTGATTACTAGCAACTTTTTCTTTCAGTTTTAAACCTGAATAATTCACTCATTTATCATTTCAGTCTCATTTTAACTAAATGTCACTAAATAAAATTGGAATAAATCAGCTGAAGGTCTCAGCACAGTCGCACGCATAGTAATGCGAGGTTTGAATTCAGTATGACCGAGTCATAGCGAACTTAATGGGAAATATGGGGAATTTGAAATAGGGAACTGCGGCAAATGCGGCGCAGACAAATTCTAATTAACCATTAAAATAGCTTAGGCGAGGAAGGACAATAAGGATTCCAGGCGCAGTCTGACCGCAGTAGAGCCGCAGTTCAGCGCAGCAAAGCGCAGCGGAACTATAGCGTGAAAATTTCACTTTTTATTCAGTTTGAGAAAAATACACTGTAAATAAATCCTGTAAATAGAAGGTAGAGCATGAAAAAGGAAGGCGACCCAAGGAGTATAAAAGGGAGACCCTTTCTGCGACCTTTCGCCCCCCTTAGAGAAGTAAGAAAATAGAGTATTATTTTTCTCAAGCATTTCTGGTTGTCACTCCAGTGCGAAAAAGTGATATACAGTTAAGATTGCCACTGTAGTAAAAGGCAGCAATTAAGGAGAGAAATATTAAGTAGATATTTCAACAGGAGAGCTGGTTAACACTCCAGATTTCAAAGTGTAAACACAAAACAGTTATTTTGCTACTGTTAAAACAAGCGATAAAATAAAGACAAAAATAAAACGAACTCAAGGGACACTCCAGACACCATCCAAATTCATTAACTGAATAGAATCTTTGAAACTTCACCAAGTAGAAGATTAAATTCAAGTTTAAATCCAAATTAAACAACGCTACACAGAATTACACCTAGACAAATTAATAAATTTCAATAAAGAAACAGCTCTGCAGGGCTCGGTTTATCTGTAAGTCAATTCCCAGGAACTTTAAAACTAACCCATAAAAATAGAATTAGCCAAAACACTCGGATTGGTACTATATTTACAATAAACAACACTAGTACACTTCCCCATCCTAACTAAAGAACCAGGGAACAGCTTGGTGGTGGTCTCGTTTGAACCTCCCAACTGACCTTCCTTCATTCTCTCCTTCAGCGGGGAGTGACAGCGCCACAGCGCGCCCACTGTAACTCTCAGAAGTCCAAACAGGAGATGCCATGAATCATCGGCCGTCTTCTTCTGGTATGTTGACAGGCACCCACCAGAGCCTTCTGGAGTACAGGCAAAGGACACAGGTCCGGATGCCTCTGAAGGTGCGGCCGCGGAAACTGAGGGGTCTCCGAGTCAGTGCCTCCACCTCTTGATGGCTTGGCAGATGTTGTGATTTTATCCGCTCCAACGCATGAACAAGAGTTGACATTGGAGTCACACA